CATCACTGAAATGTCTTGTGTTTAAACTTGTTCCATTGTTCTATAAGCTGTTTAACTTCAAGAGGCGTGAATACTACCGAGTGTTGATAGTGATAAACATAAAAAAAAAGAGGCCAATATAACCGTCACCTCCAAACAAAACAGTACTTCCATTTCTTGTGACTAGATCGCGTCATTCGTAACGCATCTTATAACCTTCGTAACGCATCTTATAACCTTAATTATAAAAAAAAAAAAGACAAATTTTAATTTTTGTGACCCATTTTATTATATTCAAATGACAAACCGTAAATATATTCCAATCAGCTAACTGATACGACTAACGTTAAACTCCAACGACTAACAACATCATGTGTTTGGGGGAGTCGTGCAGCAATTTATTTTAAAAGTATCACTAAATCTTGCCTTTGTGTGATTATCAGTGCAGCGTTAGAGTTTTACGAGTTTGGACAAAGTAAAGTTTGCAGAAATGGTGAATGGCTACATATGTAATACACAAGGTGATCGAGCTCAGGATAATACACGATTTTTATCGTCTTAGCAGTACTGCTGTTAAATGACAATTTTAAAACTACTATCGCACACATTAATCTCCATTGTGATATAACAGGAATTACCTTATGACACTGGGCCATTGTTAACAAAGTGTGAGAATATATTTAAAGTTAAAAATAAAAAAAAAAAGTTCGAGAGGTATAATATTTAATGATACATTTTCACATGTCATAACACACGTCCTGTGTGCATGTGTATGGAACACGTGTTATGCAAGGTGTAAACACGGGGGGAGGCTTGAAATGTTTTTTTTTTACTACTAATTTTCAGACCTTTCATCTATCCCCATTTTAAACCTTTTTTTATTGCTGTTTATATATAACCTCTCTTAGTGCCAGGTTTATTTTTAGATTCATAATGTAAAACAAATATGCATTTTTGAATACTTCATTGCATATGTGAAACTGGTACAATTTGGGAGGTTTGAAGGGGTAGTACCCTTTGTTCGTGGTGGTATAAAATTCGAAACTCACACTTGGTTAGTTTCACACTTTTGAAAGCTGAATTTAGAAACCACGTCGATGATACTGTTACTTAACGCTTTTGTGGCCTATAACATAAAAACCAGGTTGCTGCCGTAGTGGCCTATATAAAATGTGGTACTTAAAACCTATTTAGATAAGGTCTAACCATAAGTGTCCCCACATAAGCCCACAGTGTCCCGCATATAAGCCCATGGCAGTGAAAGAATTACACACACACATATATATATAGTTGACGTTTCTTTATGAACTTAAGCAACAAACTTAAAGCGTTTATTGGAGGTTTTATGTCTTTTTTTTTTATAAATATGCGCAAACCTTTAGGGCATTTAGTCATTATATATTTATAGTTTTTTGCTAGATGGTTACTTTTCCTTGCCAAAGTATGTTAACCAGCAATGAAAATTCACAAACAGGTATAACGCTGGTGTATCGTGTAATTCCGATGTAAATTACCATCAATGTAGCTTTCGTGTAGAGAAGAGCAGACGTAACATTTTGTATAAATACGTCATTTGTTCGAACGTTCAGATGGCTGCTTCAAAGAACAGCTATAATACTACAGGTTTAGATGTATCTTTTTTTATCATTGCACGTAATTCTTCTTTAAAATGAGCGGTGGATTAAGAGAAATATAAACCTAAGTCCTAGGAAGACAAAGTGTTAGTTTGTGAAGGCAGAAATATATACCCAAGTTCCTAGGAAGATAAAGCATTAGGATATTTGATTTACATTTGTTACTCCGTGTATCAGAATTTGAGGTTATTTTTTGAAAGAATTTTGACATCACAAAGAGCGTAGTACGATAAACGAAGAATCAGATAAACTGTGATGGTACTCATTTTCGAAGAAATGTTATCCAATTTTCGTTAAGATTTAAAAAAAACAACAAGTTAGGGTAGTGTATTCTGTTCTGTTTAGAGGCTCTAGCTGAACGACCGGCATGGCCAGCTAGTTAGGACGCTCGACTCGCAATCCGAGGGTCGCGGGTTCGAATCCCCGTCCCACTAAACGTGCTCGCCCTTTTAGCGTTATAATGCTATGGTCAATCCCACTATTCGTTGGTAAAAGACAAGTAGCCTTCCCTCTAGTCTTACACTGCTAGGGACGGCTAGCGCAGATAGCGCTAGTGTAGCTTTGCGCGAAATTCAAAAACAAACAAACAAAACAAATTAGCTGAACACGAGAGATCTTATGGACGGAGATGATGTTCAAGTATTGTACTGTTTTTCTATGAAATGAACCGTTTGTCAAGTAAGAGGTTTTCAAGTTTAGAAAAGAACTATAACTTACTCTTTACACGTCCACGTGTAATATGATGAATATTACACTATTCACTACGAATATTCACTAAAAAAACTGGTAAAAAATTAAACGTTAAAATTAATTTTTTTGCTATTGAAATTGATTTCTTTTTTTAATGTGATGAAGATGGTCACCACATTGAGGGATGTTTTTGCACCATTGATTACACAGGCTTGCGATGGTTTTATTGTCTTGAAATATTTACGTATTTTACAGTAATTCCTGCATGTACGCTGAATCCGAAAAATGATGTCCATTTTTCTCCATCACTTGCAGATTTTTCACAAAAGGTGTCATAACGCAATACATAAAAGAAAGACCATAACACGTAGTTTTGAGACTAAAAGACGTAGATTTCACACACAAAAAAAACAGGATGAATGATGATGCATATTCGTTTGACATCTATGTTCTTCCCTTTTCTTCAGTTTGATTGTATTTTTCTTAACAAACATATTAATAACAAATTTTCATTGTGGTAAACGAAATAATAATTTGATCTTAGTATTTTCTTTACGATCTGTATAAAAATCCTTACGTGATAGAAAAAAATTAATATTATTTTCGAAATCTGCGGGGCTGATCTATGGAAAATACGTTATTAAAACCAAAACAACTTTTATAAAGTTTAAATTCTCAGGCCTCTGTTTTTTGTCGACAGGACTAATATATATAATTTTGGCCTTCATAATGTTTAATGTATTTAACTTTGATATAATAGCCCCCCCTCCCCCAATGGCACAGCGGTATGTCTGCGGAGTTAAAACGCTGGAATTCGGGTTTCGATACTCGTGGTGGGCAGAGAACAGATAGCTCATTGTGTAGCTTTGTGCTGATATACAAACAAATGATATAATATAATGATTAAA